CCGTCTTCGGAATTAGGTTACGACATGCATGACTGTATCATAATAATTCGTCGTTGAGTATATGACGTCATTTGCAACAAGTGCACTTATGAAATTATATCTCCTCTCGTGCAACGAATCCGTTGTACGTGCGAAATAAGTCTCGCCCGTCGGGTTATCCCAGAAATGCGAATTGCACCAAGGAATTTACTCGGAATGCACCTTGCGTTCTATTGCAAGTACCGTGACGTCCCACGCCTAGCATTCGCAATTGCGTCAGATTTACATCGACCTTTCCTTACAGCGCTCAAGGTGAGTGCGAGTTCAATCGAAGTGGCATTAGGCGGGAGGCAAGTTTTGTGCAAATGCGACCTTAAACTTTCCCCAAAGCGTATTCCAGATCACTTTATGATTCCGCGCACGCGATGTTGATATACACGTGATATTTTTATTACATCACATTTCTACCGAAATATATACATCGCAAGTATATCGATCGCTGACACGCTTACTCGAGGACGAACAACCAGGGATAATGTACCAAATATATGCCATACGTTTCGATACGATAACACACTTTTCTAAAAAAAATATTTATATTTCAAAAATTTCGAGTAATTAATACGATTTTAATCCCTGAAATTGACAAAAATAAAACTTCGCAAAGCGGATTAATTTATCGCGAATTACCGTAACGCAGCATTAATGTAATGCGTATGCAAAGCTTATAATATTTAAGAGTGCACTAAGAATGACAAATTCCTTACATTAAAAATAAATCCCTGTAATCCGCATAAGATCTTTATTCCGATATAAGAACCATCCGATTCTTCGCTCGATCACATCGAGCAACAGCAAATAGAACGCTGGTATCGGTCGTTGGTCGCGCAACTAAATCGATGCCTCGTATTGGATTTTGCCTCAAACTTGTACTTGTTTCGTGTCGCCTTATATAGCACTACGAACAAGAAATCATATAAGTAGGTAAAATGGGAAATAGGCAACTTAAAAGACTTCGAGGCAGTATCGTTTAGTATGATGATCAAATTCAGACTACGTAGAATAGCGAATATTGCTAAAATCATACCAAACCCATGAAATATAAAACAAAATATTTTCGTCCATTATTATTAATCAAATTTGAAATTAGTGAAATACGATCAAAATTTCGATTTCGACTAGTTACGGCTAGTTTCGGTCAAAAATTGAGGTTTCTATTAGCACAAACAAAACATTATAATGTTTATTAAAAAAGAAATATATAATATATTTTTGTGCGCGTGTCTATACATATTTCTTTTCCTTATACATATATAATTTCCATGAAAGTTTAGGTTTTCGGTTTCGGTTTTGGCCGGAATTAAAAAGGACGGACTCTGATCGGACTCTAGAAATTAGTTTTAATCAAAACGTCTCGATTAATTTAATCTCAATTATAAGCTTCGAGCTTCAAATATTTATATTTAATCTACCTTTTCATTTTTCAAAAAAATTTTTAAAATAATTATTTGAGAAATGTTAATATGTTAAGGAAATAATAATCAAGCCAAGCGAAATCATCGAATTACTCTACTTTGATAAAAAAGTAACAAGAAAATAATTGTTCAGTTAAGAGTTAATGTCGTATCGTGAGAAATAATATAACGAGTTCCAACGTGCTCGCTTTTAAATAAGACTGCTACGATAATTGCAAAATAATCAACGTTCCGGTCTAAAGCCTTAATAGGTTGCGACAAGTTACTCACGGGTAACGAGAAATTTTCTTCAATTATATCGTGGTATTAATTGTTCATCCTGCCGACGTTCCTGACGAACGATCGGCTGTCACTTCGCTAATATTTCACGTCAATTAATCGAAAATAATTTAACATTAAAATATTTAAATAGCAGAAACGGCTAAAATCACGTACATCACGATATGAAGCTGACAAAAATTAATAATGTGGAATTCTTTAATAAATATAAAATTGTGTATCTATTTAACAAAAATTTGATAGAAAACTATTATTTATCACAATTTTTTTCAATTTTTCATATCAAAAACGTAACAATTGCTTAAATCAAACGAAATCTATTAAAATCCATCTCTCCAATTTAAATTAAATGTAAGATTTTATTATTCTTATTATTCTTTATTATTCTTCGTTATTCTTTTAAAATTTTATATTATTAAAAGATATTAATTCTCTATATTTGAACATTAATGCTTGAATTATTAATGCTTAATTTTCCTGAATGAAAATAATTGTGTTAATTAATAAGAAAGAAATTATTACAGTTAGATAAATATAATTTTGCAAAACAAAATATTTAGCAAATAATAGAATTCATTATTGAGAAGAAAGAAAATCAAACAGTCATAATTGCTTCAAATTTAGCCAATTATTATATAAATGTTCAGTATAAATAAATCAAAATATAAAAGTATATCAACTTTATTTTAGCGTGTGATGATTTCACACGAAATATATTTTAAAAATCAGGAATTTAAAAATTGCGAAAGATAAAATAAAATTATCAGAAGCGCGCGAATAAACTTCATAGGTATCCACAAATCATAATTAAATAAAAACAAACATTTATGTTTCCGTGCCAATATTATTCTTACGGATACAACAAGCAAATCAATCAATACATTCGTTTTCATCACAACCAAATTTTTTCATATCGCAGATTTGATCAGTGTAGAATGTTAGATTTGCGAGTTAAAATAAATCCTATTTTGACAAATATATTTCTATATTTCTGATAATCTTGTTTTATCTTAATCTTTTCATTGTTTTAAAAAAACTTCAGTATTTTCTCTAATTTTTTGTTCGAACTAAAAGTTATATAAAAAGTATATATTTTCTAAATCAAATTGCAAACAAAACATTAATAATGATATAATTATCCAAGTATCAATGTTCATTATTCAACATGCGTTTCACTCAGAATACATATCATTATTCTGATATTAGAGAGCGAATAATCAGCATTTCAAATTTCTCGGAAACAAAAGGGTCTTAGCAATAATACCTATCTTTCACTTGCGAGCTCAAAGTACAATAATTTCCCTATTCGTTTCGACTTTCGAGGGAAATATAATACGAAATGTGTAACCTTATGATAACCTATCAGTTATTAAAGTTACTTAATATGGTGATGGAAAAGTCGACCCTTTCGGAGCAAGTTTCATAACAAAGTTTCCACGGAAAATCGATTCTACAGACGACAACCGAGAAAAATTATGTTTACAAACGAAATAGAGTAACTTCTTGATTTAATTCTGCTAAATTTTAAAATCGTGTTGCCTCAGCATGTTAGAGATATTGCAATAGACATAACCTATATATCGTATTGAATCGATATCGACATGAAAATCTATTTTAATTTCCTTACGTCGAGTACTTTCCAATAACTTTCATTCATATAAAATGGTAGTGTTTCAATTATTAATATTTTTCGTCATTGCTATACTCATAACGCATTAATCCGAATATGAATGTAGTGTGAAATGTACACGTCCATATAATTCTTAAGCCACACAGACGCACACACATACGATCCCTACTATGCTTCGTTATCTGGTTCAATGATCGATTAGCTCTAATCTATTGCGATGTCAAGGAACCGTTTTGTTTCGAAAGCGGACAAATACGCGTACGATATCTCCTATCGCGTTCACAAAAAACTGTCGCGTTATATTTACATTAAAATATTAATTCGCCTTTGAATTGTATATTTACTATCGTATGTTAATCACTTCTTAAATTTCGTATTATACGAGCTGTATTTCCCAACTCTTCGACAGTTATTCCGTATTTTATTGTATTCCATATTTTTTACGCTATTAAAATCTCTCCCAGTATTTGCACATATTATATTTACCATAGTAGTAGTTATATTTACCATACACATATTTCAATCGAATTTTGTGCACGTTACATTTATATCGCGCGATAAATCCCGCCGAATCTTACACGCGATATGGCGATAATATATTTATGTCGCCTATATCGAATTTCATATTCATTATAATCACGTCGCGAATTTGGCGAATTTCGCTCGTTATATTTTACGCCGTGACTACACATTTTCTCTTCCCCGCGGAGAATTTTGTATATTTAATATCAATATCGCGCTATTAATCGACCGTCGCGCGCAGGGGACGTACTGCACTCACGTGGCGATTCATTAATTATCCGCGGAATATTTTGTCGGTGTCACGTTTATATCACGCGCCATTAGCCTCGCCCGAAGCGAGATACGCGCATTCAGGGATAGACGTCTAAATCTTGTCCCCATCGGGGCCGAGAGTTCCGGCGACGAGAGTCGGCAACGACGGGCGTCGACAGCACATTTCCCGCCAGCGTTTATATTCGTTTCGTACATCGACGGGCGTCGTTACGCAGTGTGGAGAATTACTGCGTCGCGCACATCCGTCGAGAACTTTCCCTGACTTCAAAGCGCCCGGAGTTTTCCCTCGAGTTTCCCTTGCTCGCGAATCTTCGCGCGTGCGACGCCCGAGAGAGGAAAAGTTAGCGAGCCGTCCGACATTTGCCTAAACGCATTTGCGTTTCGCAAGATAGAAGTCACAAAGAGATGGGAAAGCTGCGTCTTCCGGTCTTTTTCCTCTCTCTGTCTCTCTCTCTCTCTCTCTCTCTCTCTCTCTCTCTCTCTCTCTCTCTCTCTCTCTCTCTCTCTCTTTCTCCTCTTCCTAAATGCGTTGCGGCGAATACCGACGATTGACCGCGGCGCGATATAAATCGCGATGTGTCGAGGTTATTTCATTGGCATCACACATTCGAAATCACGAATTCTCAAACGTACGTCGGAAAAAATGCGGCTATAGAAACCACGGTAAAATCTCATTACAACGAATTATTTAGAACCGTCGATCGCGGCGTTCGCGATACATCGATACGCGTCCGATGCCCGTCATGGTGAACGCCGTCCGCTCTGTCGGGCACGTTAAAAATCAGTGACATTCGTCATAACGGGATTTCACCGTGTGATTATGTAACTAATGCCACGCGCACCTTCAACAATCGATGAACACAGCACGGCGAAGACACAGGCCCAGGCAGTGATCGTCGTCATCCTGATGCGGCCGCTGGCAGCTCCCGTGCACATCACAGAAAAAAGAAACACTTTGTCGCAAAACCAAATTTCCCAGAACGTGAACTGTAGGTAGTTTTCGCAACCGCGAGGTGGAACACAAAACTCAAGAGAACTCAGAGATCGGCGCGGGGCTCAGCGCGATTCTGATTCAACGCGGGCGCGAGCCGACGTCGCGGTGACTCGCGCGATACTCGATCGAACGTCGATCCGAGTCTTCGTCGTCGTTATCGTCGTCGTCGTTGTCGTCGTCGTCCTTGTCGGCGGAATGTCGACTTGTAATACGAGACAGAAGCGTGACCGTGAAAGAGCGACCGGTGAGCTCGACGCGCAAAGACCGTCTGCCGCGCGCTTTGCTTTCGGAGCGCTTCGTGAGACATCGGCGGCCAGCCGATTTCGCCCGAACGCGCCGCGATCCCGCTTGCCCCTTCCACCGTCGCGCCAACCTGCCGTTACACCGTGCGCGTAGATACCTACTTTCGTTCACGATCTTACGTTACGCGCGCGATGAAAAAACATACACAACACAAAGTCGCGCGACGCACCACTGTGCCCGCGTGTTTATTTCGGGGAGGAACGTTCGCGCGAGCGGTCGGTTATTATCCTCGAGTCACAACCAACTTAACTCGCACGAGACGCGTGTCACCTTCGCGCGCGAACGTTGTTATTCTTTCCGTTGATCTTTCCACTCTCATTCACCAGCTAGAGTTCACGTTGGTATTGCGTACAAAAGATTCATACGACGCGACAGCAAATTCATGCAATTCGCCGTGTCATAAAATTATCGCGGTGATTCCGAGACTCGAGAAACGAACGTATCGTCGAGTATTTTACTTGCTCCAATCTCGTCACTTCTAATATTCAGACGGAATATTCATCCGGAATTCTCTGGAAATGACGTACCTTGAAACATCCACATTGATGTTCCAACTAACGATATATATAATTTCTATACGAGGCGATTACGAGATATTTATCGCGATTACTCGCGTTAATTAATATAATAACTCTTTAGCGAACGTCCGTTGTTCGATTTAGCACTGTCGACCATTGTTTTCGCGCGGATTTTAGTCTAAACGTGAAAAATATGGAGAAAAATACGAGGCAAACGCGATGCTACTTTGATTTAACGCTAAGCATTGTGAACTTAGCGCAAAGTGGCTGCGTCAGTTGAAAGGAAGATAGTGTCACGTGATAGTCCAGATTTTCAAAGTGCAGAGAAAGACAAAGGGAAGATACGAACTACATACATATGTTTGCATGCATGTGCATCTTTAATCCTTGCTGTTTTGTGTTGGTTGGTCTGCTGACTATCTCTCGCGCAAGCCAAAATAAAAGACAGCAATGCAAAACAATGAATTTGAAGAAATCCGATATTTGAGTCTCGATGCATAACACAATTTTTACCGCAAAGTGATTACGAATATATAATAAAAATTAATTTCGAAATATTCATCGAAATGATTACGAATAAGTAATGAAGGATATTATTTTCAATCGCATTGTTTTAATTTAGATTATATACTACAAAATAAAAATATTGTAAATATAATTATTTAAAACTTCAAAATCATAATATTAATTAAAATTTCTTAAGTAAAAATTTGGATATTGTCTGCAAATTGTCTGCAATTGATGATATTGTTTTCAAATTCATTGTAGTGCGCTTTTTAAAAATGTTTAAGTTAGTTTGGTTTATTAATAAATTAATATAATTTATAATAAAAGAATTTATTCATTAAATTAATATAATTTAAAAAATCATTTTTTCAAATCTCTTTAAAAAATCATTTTAATAATTATTATACATAAGTATATATTAAATTCATTTTAATCTGGACATAGCGGACGGTTACTTGAGGAATTAGATTTTCGTAACTTTAAAGAAGATTTCGTATTACATATGTGGATGTATGTGTAGGTGTGTAATCCGGTTGTATTTCGTGTTATTTAATGAATACTACCGATCGTATTCCACGTGGATAAAAGCGCGATACATTCAATAAACGATTCGATCGTCGAATATATAACAAAAGGTGTTAATTGCAATCGCAAATGTCGAATAACATTCTTCGACATCCATTTCTCTTTCAATTCATCGTTTTCAATGAGTCCAGGCTTTATTGCCATTAATGGAAGAAGTACGAAGTTAAAATATAAAATATAAAACGATCTATTATTCCGAACCGGCGCGAAGCAGCCGCGAATTTAGCACAAAGTGATCATGCGAATCGAAATGAAGATGGTCACGCTATGGTCTAATTCTAGATTTCTATAATATGAGAAAAGAATCCGAATCATCGAATTATACGTGCGTAAAAAGATTCTGAACTTGCACGTGCGTGCATGCAATTTTTTAACATATATTACTATATTTTCAGAAAAATATTTTCACTGACACTTTTATCCTTTATTAACTTAACATCATTTTTTTTTTCATTTAATGTCAGAAATAGTCTGATTATTTTAAACAGTTGCAATAGATAACAGTTTTTAGCTGCTTTCCATTAATAATTTATTTATCTTTCTTTTTAAATCATGAGATTATCGTAACAATAGACAGTAGAATGGTAAATGTTCCATTGAACCGCATTAAAGTTGCATTATTGGTGCACTAGTGCAATTTTCAAAATCTAGCACAGTGTTAAGGTTGTATTAGTTTTTCGGTAGAAAATGCTAGATTCATGATTGCTCGGATGGCAACCTCTCGTCCAAGCATAGAAGCGTATTCAGTAAATACAGCTACATCTCATACTTATTTGTGTCCATTGTGCGTTATATTTGATCTTTATTTAGAATTTTCATTTTCAGAATAATATTTAATGTTCCTTCCATTGTTCCATTGTGCGCAAGATCTTCGCGATTTAATCGTCGGCCACGACAAACGCGCCCGCGCGACGTTATCTACGTCTGCGCGCTTATCAGCAGTCTCTTGAATTCCAGGGCACTCCAGGTAGGCTCTAACAAGTTATGCATATGTTGCGTACGCGCGTCCACCCATATGACGCACAAGATATCTGTAGCTCGGTTAACGTCGTGTCGTAAGGCTTAAAGATAATCACGATGATATATGAAATAGTCCGATGCAATTATTGTTGCGAGACCGCATATAAGATGAAACAATGCGATCCATTCCGCTACAAAGATTAACTGTC